AAAAAAAAAAAAAAAAAAAGAGCTTAATGACTTTAGATCTCCTATTGACTTGGGAAATTCCCTCCCCCCACAATCTTTGTGGTTTACTTCATATGGCAGGAAAAAATAGGAAAAGTTATAAAAAATGATATTAAAGTTACAATTCTGCACCTAGTTTCAGTTAGTCTCTTTAGCTACTTACTTCAGTTAACATTAATGCTTTGTCATTAATTTTCTATAAACCTGAAAATGCACGGGTGAAAGCCTCGTGTATAGCCTCATATGGGGAATTTTGGATTAATGGAGTAAGCTTACCATTCTCTTAGATAAGTGTTTTAGGACTCATCCACTAGTCCAGTTAAATAACCGAACAAGAAAGGAAGTCATAGAATACACAAATCAAAACCAACTTGAAAAAGAGTGATGATGTGAATATTGTGCTAAGCACACAGAATGAAGTCTACCGGGCAGATCATGCTAGAGGACAGGTTCAAATGCAAAATATTAGCTTAAAAATAAAACATACAAGAATGCAAAAGCTGCAATTGGCAATGAGAATTAGGTCTTTAAAATTGAAGAAACTATGAGGTCCACGAAAAGTGAACAAGTTAAGTTGAACAAATTAGAGGAAGAAACTCAAATGGATAAATAACGAAAGCAAAGAGTACAAAATCATTGAACTAGACATGTGAGGAAGCTGTAGGTTCATTGACTTCTTTGCACCAAATGGCTTAATTCTGACACCCAAAGCCCTAAGTAGCCCTCCTCCATCCATGGATTGCAATCAAAATTATTCAAATTAAGTGATCGAAATAAAAACCGTGTCATAAACTAGTCAGTGGTACTGAAAATTGTATTATTTATCCATCTATGATATACTCCCACTAACTTTGAAAATATCCATTTTCTTCCGAAAGTATCAATTCCCTAAACACCAAAAAAAATTGAAGGCAAAGCAAGAATTCAAAAACCAATAACCAAGTTTGACAAAATCCTTATCTCTACAAACATAAATCAAAGAACCTAAGGGTAGTAGCAAAGAGCGCAAAGGTTGAGACTTGAAACAGAGGACAGAGGGCTCCATAATTTTTCTTCAAACAAAGTGATTGCATTTTCCATGCATAATTAAACAACACCCAATTGTCAAGAAATAAAACCCATAAATAAAAATATCAAAAGAAAATTCCTTCCTATCGGTTGCCGGAAAGACGGTCTGTGGCGGTCAACGAGCTGCACTCGTCCTAGAAACGAACACTATACAAGGAGAAGAATGCAACTCTCTAATCAGTACCGTCCTCGTCTGAAAGCGCTTTGTCCAGCTTAGCAAATGGAAGGTCTGAGCGCGTAGCAAGTAACTCCGATGAATCTGGCGGAGATGCAGCCGGCGAGAAGAAGGTGAACGTTGGGGACTTTGGGTTGGGCTTTTTGTTTTTTGGGCCAAAAGGTTAGGTTTGTATGAACGGTTTTTGGTTTCTTATTTTGAGCCGTCAGTGTTTATTTATTTTATTTTATTTTTGAGCCATCAATGTATAATTAATTTTATAAATTGCAGCATTATTATGTAACATTAAGGTTCCTCTTCATCTTCCAATGAGTGAAGATAGACACTCTTCCTTCAGGGTATTAAATGGATTCCGATGGATGGTAATAGTATATCCTTTTGGAAAGACTGTTGGCTCTTTGATATTCCTCTCAACTCTATTCTGGTTGGACCTTTGTCGAGGAGTGATGAGGACCTACAGGTGGCAGATGTATTCTCCTGTGCTGACTTTAACTCCTCCCTTATATCCTACCCTCTACCTGACACTATTCTAGAAACTATTAAAGCCAATCCCATTTCAAAAATAGGGCTTGGCAATGATTCGTACTCATGGAAAGGGTCTCGTGATGGGTCCTTTTCCATGAAAGTTGCTTATCTTATGGCGAAAGGTGTGAATCCTAACCCTGTTATGAATTGGAATTGGATTTGGAAGATTCATACTCTACCTAAAATTCAATGTTTCATTTGGCTATTATGTTATGAACGCCTAAAAACTCTTGATCTTCTCTCTAGATTGGGCATTGTGGAATCTAATGTGTGTCCCATGTGTCTTGTGGCAAAGGAAACTTGTGATCATCTCTGTAGAGAATGTCCTTCCTCTTCTTTTATCTGGCATACTTTTTTTTCTCAAGGAACGGTTGGCTCTAGCAATTCCTTATTCCAGTGGATCAAAGACAACTGTTTGAGCAAGAATATGTGTCCTACTATCCCAATCCCCTGGGGAACGGTCTTTAGCTTTATTCTTTGGAGTATTTGGCTGCAAAGGAACAATAAACTTTATTCCTCTAATGTCTTTGAACCGAATTATATTATCTCTATTATTTGGGATAAGGTTTTTGAATTTTACTCAGCTTCACCCTTGCCTTCTCCTAAGAATACTCAAAAGGAATCTAGACTAGTTTGTTGGGAGAAACCTCCAGAGGGATACTGTAAACTAAACACCGACGGGTCAGCTCATGGAAACCCAGGTCTTGCCTCTGCAGGTGGAGTCATTAGAGATCATATGGGTAGATGGATTGTTGGATTCGCCTGCAAGATTGGTTATGCCTCTTGCTTGCGTGCTGAACTCTGGGGGATTAGAGAGGGACTTCTCTTGGCTTATCAGAGAAATATCCAGAACTTAATTGTTGGAGTTGACTCCTTTGTTGCAACTCAGTTATTATCCTGTTGCTTTTCACCTCATCATCCTCTTTACTCCCTTATTTTGGATTGCAGGGAGATCTTGTCTAGAATCCCCCGGACTCGTATCCAACATGTGTACAGAGAAGCTAATCAGTGCGCTGATGCTCTGACTGCAGTGGCTCATTCACTTCCTGTGGATTTTGTTTCTTTTGATTGCTCTCCTCCGGGACTTCTTTTGTATTATGAAGCTGACATGAGGGGAACTTGTTTTCCCAGGACTTAGTGTATTATGTATTGTTTTTAATGCAATTCTCTCTCTTTTACCAAAAAAAAAAAATGAGTGAAGATAGACAGATTGATCCAACAATCGTTCATCCATCCATTGCTCTTCTGCAAGAAAGGTTCAAACAGTTGGAGAGAGCCAAGGAGATGAGGCAGGAGAAAGAGCTCTTACGGATGTTCCCCGAATCAAGGCAGATCAATGCAGCTATGCCTTATGTGCCATGCAGATCGCTTTTCCACCCTGTACTCACGCTTCAGTCGGAGCTGCCTCTTCAGTGTACACTCAAAAGAGAAGCTAGTTTGTAGAGCAGGAATACCAAGGTTCAGGCCATTCAGACTCCAATATTGGAGAATTTATTGTCCAGAGACACTGTCATATGCACAAGCAGCACAACTGACCATGATGATATTTCAGATGTTGATACTTCACCCGTGAAAAAGTTTTACAATGTTAGTCTATCTAGTAATCCTGTGGTTTCCTTCCGTTTCTTCTTCATGGTGCAGCAAGAATATGGGAAAGGAAAAAAAGGAGCTAAAGAAAAAGAAAACAGAATATGCAGTGTCGCTAATTTCCATTATCTTATGTATCTTTGGCAACTACATAGCGATCAGAAAGGCAATTCTCTTGTCTCTTTTGAAATGCATTCTCAGCATAGGTAATGTTATCCAATTTGTCACTGTTCCCTTTCCTCTTCATGATTTTGGGAATCAATTGAGTTACTTCTTTGGCCTCTTACATTGCTTCCCCATTGTTTATCAGCTCAAAACGAACAGCACTAACCTTTCAGGCATTTGCAGCTAATACCTGCAGCAGGGATAACATTTCACTCACATTAATCAGTTATTCAATTGGATGCCCAAGATTTAGTCTTATTAGCCTATCTAGTTATCACATGTATAATTAAATTTCCAGAAAAAAAATGTTTAAACTTGAATGTTTCCTTTTTCTTGGAGTCAGGTCCCACTATGTCTAGTTGAAACTTTTTTTTTTTTTTGACAATAAAAATTATATGATTAAGTTAGCATCTGTTCTACACTAGGAGGATTCGACGTCAAGATCAAAGGGTGCATTCCACTTTGCTGCTGAGCAGCATGGCCATGTGGGCCACGTAGGGGAATGCATTATCAGTTGCTAAGTTTAGTTTAGCAAACTGAGCCACCAAATGAAGCATCTCATAGGATGAGCAATATAAAAGCAGATTCCTCCATGAAAAAATGCATGCCCTCATAATAGCATTGATTTCAGAAAGTTACACGTGGAAGAGACTGCATGATTGCTGGCTACATGCTTTTTCTTTCCTAGTTCTTTTTGGCTGAAATCCATTTAGTGCTTCTACCCTACCTCAAGTCTATATATTTGATGCCTTCACATCTTGATGATTGGATCCATATTCATCGTGCTTATCATCATCATCATCTTGATTATCCCTTTCAAGGACAACTTTGATGCTCTCACCAGCTCTAGGGATGTATCCAAATCCTGCGCATAAAAAACCAGATACTGTCTCATACTGATGTTCCTATAGAACAGCATGGTGAACAAAGAAATGATGAATAGAGATATGGAATTTATAAGTTAAGGACACTTTAATAATTATTTACAATGTGAGGTTAACTGTGCTTTTATTTCAAAATGAATTGAATATCGCATTCCGCTTTTAACTATTTACTTTATCCTCCCCTTTTTCTTTTTCATTTGTTTTTTGTTTTCCTTTTTTTTTTTTGTTGTTTAGTTTTTCTTTTTTCTTTTTTCCTTTTTTTTTTTCAAGCAGTGGTCACTTAATCTTAAGGCATGGTAATCCACAATAGTCACAATAAACAGAATTTCCCTTGCAACTGAGATTAGAAATATCAAGTTTATAAGTGTGCCTATTTTTAAGGTTCCTATGATCAACTATGTGGCAGAAAAAAAATTTTAATGAGCCTGTGGAAATGGCAGGAGAAGTGTACAATACAGAAATAATTAAAGGTAGAAATGATCCTAATAACTGAGTTTTTAGCTTTAAAGTTCAAATACTCCATTCGGTGCTCTATACACCATAACAACAAAAACCAGTAATAGGGTGTGGAATAATATACCTCTGGCATTTTGATATTCATGTCCTCAGATGGCAAATAAATAGATGTATTGGCATCAACATCATATACTCCCTCTGCTCTCATTACAATATAGCCAATTTTCTTCTAGATCTCCTTCTGTTAATACAATTAGCAACAAATGCATCTAATAAGTATCACTTGAGAATCATTATATATATATCACTTAAGAATTACGTAGAGCTCAACCTTGTAATACTAATTGATATGAGACCAATAGAATAAAGAAATATCTACATGACATGAGAAGTGACATGAAATTCTTTGGTCACTAAGAGAGACCAGAAACTGGAAATAAAGCAGAATCTAGATCAATTGATCTGTACAAAATTGGCAGCACATGTACAACACCAATTTGTTTTGGACTTCATCAACAAGTTTTTTTAGCATCCCCTTGTTGAGGAATAATAGAATGCACTATCTAAAGTTATCTATATAATTAAAAGACTTGCCTCCAACAACGGATTCAATAATAGAACATTAAGGTCATTAATGATGTAAGTAGGCTTACCTTTGAATCATTTTCATAAAAAATTTCGCCAATAATCTCCTCAACCACATCTTCTAAGGTTACCACTGCTCCATCAAAAAATGAGTACACAAATATATAAAATCAATCAGTCAATAAAACGAGCACAAATACTGTTAAATAAGGAATCCAAAGAGAAAGAAAACCCATGCATGGTAAGTTCTAGACTTTTTGTGTTCTCATGGTGCATATTCCACTCTTATCTGAACTTTAGAAGAAAAATGATTTCAAAACATATGAGAGAGCATTTGAGTTTCATCTACAGGGAACTCCTATTTGTCTCCTTTACCATGTTGAACCTGGAATTAATGTTACGTGCCAAAGTTTTGAAGTTGTAAAATTTGAATAACATACTAGTACTAGGTGCCCTTGTTGACCTTTTACCATCATACGCTTCATTGAGTTTATGTTATGGCATTTGGATGCCAACAAACAATGAACAAATACTACTTTAAGTGGGCACAAAGAACATGCTAACAAAGAATAAGGTTTTGTCTTTAAGACTTCTAGCTCCAATTGGAAAATTTTTGTTTATTTTTTTAGCCTCTTAACAGGGAAAGCATTGTTAGCATCTAACCCTAGAACATAGTTCAAAATATCACAAATGTTGTCTCTTATTGTTTCAAGATATCACAAGTTAGCATAAGTTGACATGCGGCACAAAATCAAAATAAAGAAAATGGCAAAAGTTGGCACTTTACCATAATAAAAAACCTGAACATAATGGATGATTCTGTTTAGGTATAGTTTCAATAAGAGGCTTCACATAGACCCCAACTGTTCCACCATATTCATTAAGAACAACAGCCATGTGAACCTTCCCGATCTGGAACTCTCTAAGAAGATTCCAGACTAACATTGAATTTGCAAAATTAACTTTCTAAAATTTATTGTATAGAGAGTTGAAGCATTCTATTTTTTCCATTTTCTTTTCCCCTAGAGAATAACTACTAAAACAACAAATAAGTCTAATGAAACAGGGTGATGAAACAGCACTTTGAGGTACCAATCCCTTATTTTATTTACTCAGAAAATGCAACTTAGTTGCAAAACCTCCAAAATTTGATTGAGGTGGCAAAATCCAAAGAAGGAAAGCTACAATGAAGGAAGAGCTAAGGTTGTTTCAGAAGGGTGGTACACGGTTGGGAAAAAAAAAAAGAGAGTTTTCACCTCACCAAAAGAGGGAACTCCGGGTGTGTCTCCTTCTCCTCCAAGACCTCTCTCAAACTATTTCTTCTTACCACCGAAAACTCATCATAGGGTCTTCTGCACTTCGATTAACTACAAAAATCAGAAAAGAAATGACATCTTCACATAAAATGTGGATAATATGGTGAGAAAATGGGGTAATAGCAATTAAAAAAGAAAAAAAAAAAAAGAAAAACTATGCAGCTACCTCAATCAACAAGTGGATAGTGTCATGAAAAGCTAGATAGTGTTAATATCAACCTAAAGAACATCATTAAAATATCAACTAGAGAAAAAAGTTAAGGGTTACCAGGCACAAAGTAGGCAGGTTTGTGAGCAGGTTTGTGAGCCATGTCTCCCACAGTAGAACTTTCAAGTTGCTCACCCTTCACCAATTCCCAGAAAAAGAAATAAAAATCAAAGTGATTACAAATCTGCATGCTATGATATTGACATTGTTGCATATAATTGATAAGAAAAGTTCTAATGATGGAAAAAAGGGTGTGTAAAAGGAAGAAATTGCCTGACCTTCTGAAAAAAATCAAGTAGATCCATTGCATATGCAATGCCAACTATATTGTCAACACCTGCTCAAAAATAAGTACCATGTAAATAGAAATCTTTTAACAAGTTTCTTGAAGGAGATAAAGCCTTAGAGATGAATTACCAATTCCCTACCTTGAATATTGGCGAGTCACCCACAGATGGTGAACATCAACAAAAGTTGCACTTGCATCAATTGCAACCACGTTAACAAGGGGTGTGATGGCCTCTCTAACATGAGTATCCTTTATCCGTAATGCAGTTTCAATCATATCCTGCAAGGAATTCATAAAATTAGTGCATCTGAACTGTAAATAAAGAGACAGGCACCTACTGGCAAAAAAATTAAATTGGATTTCCTCTATAATTTGAATGTTTAAACAGAAATTGGTAGAGAAATATATGGTAAGAAAAAGATATGCTCTATTGTAAATGCGCAACCAGAGTCAAGCATAGATGATACCGATCACTTTCATCTCAGTAAAAGAATTTAGAAACTGAAGAAACTTTCTAATTCTTATTTGCAACAAAAGAGACACTTGGCAGGTACAATAAAGAAAAATTAGCTTATTTCACTACCTGCTCTTCCTCCTCTATTGCTCCACTCAACTCTGCCCCACGTAGCATCAGCTTTAATTCATCTTTACTAACATAAGGTTCACTAATTTAAAGAGAAAACATGCAAAGCATTCGTAAAGCAGTCAATACAAACTTAAAAAACAACTAGATTCTGAAAACAAAAAATGTAACAGACAAAAAGGAGGATATGATTTCCTTCACCTTTTCCCTTTTAGACCAAGTAATTTAAGCATTCCCATTGATAAATAAGTAACAATTCTTCCCACTGGATATGGTATCAAGGAAAGCCATGCCACTGGCCTGGCCTAGTGACACAACAAACAGCATTAGCCAAATAATGAGAAAGTTAAAGTTTTTCAGCAAAGTTTTAGTTGCCAGTTCAAGAAGAAAATGGAAACTTGAATGGAAATTGGAGAACTTACCCCAAACCTAGCCACCTCTGTGGGATTGTGAACAGCTATACTTTTTGGAGTACTGATCTCAGTACGAAGCAAAATAGCAACTTGGAATCATCCAGGAAAAATTCAATGATTATGATTTCTTTCAATCTTTGATGTTCTTTTTTTTTTTTTTTGGGAAAAAGGCAAGCTTTTCCATTGCATGAAAACAACATATCTACAATAAACACTCAGGCATACCTGGGTTTAACATTTCACCTAACACTCAAAATTACACCTGCTAAAAGTAAAAAAATTCATTTTTTATTCTTTATTTAACAAAGCTGCTATGCCTTTCAATGTGCACAGATACATATAGACTAGAAACAAATTCATTTAGGAGAAAAGGAAACAAGAAGTATAAAAAGATCAAAGATCATTTGTTGTTAATTTGTAGGATAGCTTCAGATTAATAATTTTATAAGTGAGTTGAAAAAAAAAAAGAAGAAGAAAGTAGCAAAAATGGAAAATACCCCTTGAAGAAAATAAGCTAAGCCTGTCATGTACCCTATACAAGACATTTTTTTGGTTTTCTAGTAAAATATCAACTCCTTTATCAATAATATAAAAAGAGAAAGATATGAAAATTAATCTACCATATCAAGAATGACTAGTACCCAAAGGTTTGGATACCCATAATATTGAAAAAAGAAAAATAAAGAATGACCAGTGCCATACTGTTGAAACGTAAAATACCAATTCTCTGATTCAAATGCCCTATTGTCTCAAAAGATCTAGCTCACTTACCATTACCACCTTCCCATTATCATTGAGGTAGGGGGAAAAAAACACATGATAAACAACCAGCCCACCCACCTTTTGATTATTCTGCAGTCTATTAGAGTTACCCAACATGATTCTTATTTGTTCTTCTTTCATTGTTTTTGTTAACAGTCAACACTACAACTCAGGTGCTAACTTAAAGCAATTTAAGCATTTTACTCTAATTTACTACAAATTCACAATGTGTTACATACAAGCACAAATAGAAGCAGGCAAGGAGGTTGGGTATGTGGGACACGTAGAGAGGATAGAATTTTTATATACATAGAGTCATTACTCCAATTGTTGCCCTAAGACCAGCTTCTCCAAATATTACTGTTGCTACATCTGTAACTAAAGCAATTGCTCCAATATTGACCATCCTAGTGAGAAAAATAGAATCTAAAAATAAATCACACACCAAAGTTAACATAGACACACAGAACTGGATCAGTTAAGTGATGATGGGAAAGACTAGTATGTAGTGCCAATAAGATTGGTGGTCAAAAACCAGGTTACATCGCTTTGAAGTCTTCAGACACTAAGCCCAACATTTAAGTCAGCAAATGCCATTGCACAACACTAATTATAAGAACCATCAATCTTCAAACAAAGAAAGCAAACCTTTTATGGCCATAGTGTAGTTATAGAAGTCTCTGCCATTGAGAAGAATGCAGATAGACCTAAAAGTGCAATCAAAATCACACCTTGCTCTTTGAAAATCTTAAGAACCATAGAAACCTTAGGCCACGGATTCCTCAACAACAACCCCCACTGCTCAACCACTCCGTACCCTGCATTCACCATTCCTCCGCCACTACTCTCTTGCACCCGAAAACCAATAGACAACAAAGCATTGCCCAAATAAAGACTCTTTGCTTCAGCAAAATCTTCAGAGACTTCAAATCTAGTCTTAAAACCTCACCTTGGTCACCACCCAGATCATTGTTTTCTTCACTTAATGATCTCAGATGAGCTTCATCGCCATCAATGAGGAACACTTGGATCTGGAAATGAAGGATGGTCGATTGATGACAGTGGGGATTCAGGTTCCATAACCCCCACAATAGTTTTTTTTTTTTTTTTTGACAGGGCAAGTGATTTGAGGGGGAGGCGATGGGGAGGGGATCGAACCCTTGCGATGGTGAAAAGGCTTACAGTAACCTGCTGGGCCACTAGGTCGGCAGGCCTTCTTCACCCCCACAATAGTTATAGACTTATAGCTGAAGGAAAATGTTAAAAACTTAAAAAAAAAAAAAAAACCCCCAAAATTGTATTCCCTTTCCCAAAACATTTTTTTTAAAAAAAAGACCCAAAATTGTATTTTTTTTTCCAATCCTATTTCACTTGATCTTGTTAAAACTGTGCATCCAGGTGATAAGGTAGAAACAGAGGTTGACAAAAGATAATACGGTATTGATTAAAGAGGGGAAAGTGAGCTGAGACTGTGATGCTGATAATGTCCCTTAATCTTGCCGAAGGGAGGCTACTTCCGTTGGGTTCTGCCTATTGTGGGAGGAAGATGTTGCTGAAAGCAAGTGACCAAGTGGATGGAAGAGAGGGACTGAAGCCGAAATCACAGGACTTGCCTTTCCCAATTTTACAATTAGAGTTATATCCCTATAACCATAACCATCCCAAAATCCAGATTCCACCATCAAAATCCCATCTCAAAATTCAAACTTCCCCTTCAGCCCGAAAATGTAAAGCAAGAATTTTTATGACTGTGCTAATGGGAATCTCAAGAACAAAACTGTAAAGAATGAAACTTGACATACCTTCGCTTCTAATTTGATACCAACCAGCTTAACGAAGTACATTAATAAAGAAAGATTAACAGCTTGAACCTTCAAATATATTTTACAATAAAGAAAGACAAAATTACAAACCATAGTAAAAACAAGAGAAGGCTAATGATTTTAGACAAGCCAATGCCAGCTATAACAAAAACTTCAAACCTGAAAACCACTTATTCACGAAACATTAAATCAGAAGCTCTAAAACATCAACTCTGCAACTAGCTTCTTCTTTGAACAAGTCTTCTGCCTTTCCTCATCTTCCTTCCACTTTGACTTGGTCGGCCGTCAAACAAAGAGACAAACCATTTTGGTTTTCCTGTTCGGAAGACATGATGTCCCATCAGAAGTCCAAAAACAACTCCACATCCATAGCCTAACACCACAACTCTCCAGCCAAATCTCCACAACTCATCTTTTTCTTGGAAGGAGCTCGTCGGTGTCCCAATTCCATCACAAGATTTTGACAATGGGATTCCGCACAGTCCAAGGTTTCCTTCATAAGAACCATTTCCAAAGGTGTTGAACTAACTGCCTTGTGGTATGCGCCCGACAAGATGATTATTTGAAAGATTCAATACAGAGAGTTGTGTTAAAGATACCAATTCATCATGAATTTTCCCCACCAGCTCGTTGGAAGAGAGATCCAACCATTCCAGATTCGTCAAATTCCCTAGTGACGGTGGCATCTGACCAGTAAGGTTGTTATGAGAAAGATTAAGCCCTTTGAGAGAACTAAGCTTTCCAATAACATCTAGAATTTCTCCTTCAAACTTGTTATTTGAGAGATGAATACTACTGAATATGGTCAAGATTCCCTGCAGCTCATAGTCGAATCCCTTCCATGTCACAGCCAGTGAATATTGATAAGAATTGGCTCCCGTCCACACATTCATGTATTCAGGGGAGTCATCCTCTCCATGAGGGTCCATCATCGCTTTAAAATTTCCCATGTACTGAAGAGGCAAAGGACCAAAAAAATCATTGCTGGAAAGGTCCAGAACTCGTAACTTGGGAAAAGATGGACTTTTGGGAAAAGATGGACTTTCTTTGGAGCTCTGCACAAAACCGTGGAACTTGTTGGACCTTAAGACAAGCACTTGAAGTTTGGTAGAGACTCCAACCAATGAGGAAATGTATCCTCTATGCGGTTGTTGCCAACGTCTAGAACCTCTAACATGCTACAATTCACCAAAGACCTTGGTAATAGCCCGTCCATTTGATTTCCATGTAAGTTGAGATTTCGTAATCCACAGCCCTCTGGAAACCCAAAGGGTATATTTCCATTAAAGTAATTGGCTTGCAAATTCAACACTGAGAGAGACTTAGGAAGACAATTTGGAATCTCCTCGATCAAATTGTTATGAGAAAGGTCAAGAATTTTGAGATCATCCTTTTCACATATCCATTCGGGAATATTTCCATGAATGCTATTTTTGGATAGCACTAGGCTTTGCAGACCATTTGAATGTCTTATAAAATTGGGGAATTCACTCAAGTTACAAGATGAAAAGGAAACATGAGTTAGTTTGGGTAATGTGAAGTTGGCATTGACATTCATTCTCAAGGACAGATTATTGTCTGAAAGAAAGATGGCTTCCAGATTTTGAAGCGCCGAGAACATGTCAGCTTCTACTAAATCACTAAAATGATTTGATGATAAATCGAGATAACTAAGATTTACTAAATTAGCAATTGAGTTAGGAATTGAGCCCTGGAGTTTATTGTTTGACAAATCTAGGTGTGTGAGTGAGTTTTGCTGGAATTGATTTATTTGACCTTGAAATTGGTTATGATTGAGATACAAGTCCTCTAGCAGAGGTAGGGTGAAAATCCAAGGTGGCAATATGCCAGAAAACTGATTATTTGAAAGGCCAACAAAGCGAAGTTGTGTGAGGTTTGCAAGTGATGGTGGGATTTGTCCACTAAGTTTGTTAGAATATAGGTATAGGCTAGTAAGTTGCCTTAAGTTACCTATGCAAGCTGGAATGGGACCAGAAAACTGATTATTGTAAAGGTAAAGATACACAAGTTGTGTGAGGTATGCAAGTGATGTTGGGATTTGTCCGTTAAAATTGTTAGAATAGAGGCTTAGGCCAGTTAGTTGAGATAAGTTCCCAATGGAAGCTGGAAGGGAACCTTCCAAGTTGCGGCCAAGACTTAAATACTATAATGACTTTAGATCCCCTATAGACTCTGGCAATCTCCCTCCACAATGCATGACATCCAAAACCAAATATCGGAGAGGACTGCTCCAATTGGAACTTGGAGGATCAATAGTGAGGTTTCCCTTTCCACCTAAACTAAATCTCTTGAGATTTGGAAAGCGAAAAATACTGTTTGGAAAGTCTCCTTTTAACTGACAATGAAAAAGACGAAGGGTAGTCAAAGAAGAAGAGAGATTCATGAAGAAACGAGGATCAACAGAAGTCATGTTCACTTCATTAAGCACAAGTTCTCTCACCTCACTCAAGTTATGAACAAGATTTTTGAAGGTAGTTGTTTCAAGGATCAAGTCAGAAGAATCATAATAATTAGAGAGATTGAGAAAAACTAACTTGGAGAGGTGAGCAATTTCTGCTGGAACTTGGCCTGAAAATCGAGAAGAGGAGATATCAAGATGCTTTAGTCTAGTAAATTGACTGATTTCAGGTGGAATCTTGGAATGCCTAAAATCATTCAAGGCAAGATTGAGGCTCTGCAGGTTTTTGAGGAGAAAAAGAGTGCTGTTGGAAGGAAAGGTGCCAGAAAGGTGACTGCAACTGAGATTAAGGGCGATTACATGGCCTGTGACATTATCACAGCTAACCCCATCCCAGGAACAACAGTCTATACCTTCCTTCCATGACTCAATCTTAGAATAATTAGGTTTAGTATAAAAAAGATCCTCACAATAATCTGGATCCTGAACAGTGTAATTGATGGAGAAGGATGTCTTGAATTGCAACAAAGCAAGAGCCTCCTCATGAGAGTAGAGATGTGTTGTTGAGAAGGAAGAAGCATGTATAGAGGATGAGAAGGCAGTTTTAAGACAGAGGAAGACAAAAAGGAGGCAGAGTGAGAGTGGTGCAGAGAGCTTTGTGAAGATCCTCATATCTTTGTTTGGCGCAATAGAGTACTCAACAAGAGTATATATAGATTGTTTAAAATTGAGGTATGAAAGTAATATTGATGCAGCGGTGGATATCATTTTTTAAATTATTTTTTATTTCTTTTTTATTTATTATTTTAAAAGTAAATGCAGTAATCAAGGATTATAACCACATTATTAATAAGTCTTCAAATAATAATTTAAATCTCAATAAAAAATTATTATCTTTGTTATTTTGTGATATAAAAAAGGTATTTTTTTCACTTTAAAATTAGAATTAATAATTTAAAAAAATTATTTATTTACATTTCTTAATATATATACATATATATAACAAATATTAGTAGATGAATATTAATATTAAAAAATTATTTAATGTAATTTACAATAGTAAATTGTAGAATCATGCAGATCAATCAACCAAATTTTCTGGTTCTCCACAATCTATCTCAGGAAACTTGGCGAAATCAATGGCTCTTGATAGAAGCCAAGGGATGAAAGTCTCGCAACAAAATCGTTTTGCTATAATTGAGGAGTTGATGGATGAGGAAGCCGAATTGATCGGAGCAAATTCCCAAAGATGGTTTTAAGATAGAGGAAGAAAAACTGGAGGCAGAGTGGTGTCAAGAGCATAGTTAAACCAAACGAAGTGGTGCCAACTTCAACTCAATCAAACAACCTGGCCGTATCTGGGTTTGGTGACCGAACCCAGCCGAACAAAGAGAAAGAAAGAGAAAGAAAGAAGGGAAGAAGATGAATCGGAAAGGTGAGGGTAATAAATTCATTTTGTTTATTTTTATTTTTTTTAAATATAAATAATCATATGATGTGATATTTTTATTTATTTATATAATATAATTATAAAATATATTATTACCACATCTTCAAAAAATTTAAAAAAAAATGTCACATCTTCCACTCTTGCATTACGTATTGACATATACATACATCATATTTATTGCATGTCAATTTCTACATGCACTTGACAAATGTGTTCAGGAAAATGTAACTAAGGAAACTTGCAAGGAGTTGCAAGGAAGTGATGGACGAAAATGATTGAAAAACTCCAATTATTTTTGACTTTTTTATAAAAGGTTCAACATCGATTTACATAAATCATATTTATTGCATGTCAATTTCCACATGTATTTGACATATTTGGTCAAGAATATGTAACTAAGGAAACTTGTAAGCAGTTGCAGGGAAATGATGGATAGAGAAGATTGAAAAACTCAAGTTATTTTTGACTTTTTTATAAACGGTGCAATATCAATTTACATACATCATATTTATTGGATGTCAATTTCCACACGTATTGCAAATTTGGTCAAAAAAATGTAACTAAAGAAATTTGTAAGCAATTGCAAGGAAGTGATGGACGGAGAGAATTGAAAAAACTCAAGTTATTTTTGACTTCTTTATAAAAGGTACAACGTCGATTTATATACATCATATTTATTGGATGTCAATTTCCACATGTATTGCAAATTTGGTCAAAAAAATATAACTAAGGAAACTTGTAACCAGTTGTAGGGAAGTGATGGACGAAGAGGATTGAAAAACTATAGTTATTTTTGACTTCCTTATAAAAGTTTCAACATCAATTTTGCTACCTTTTAGAACAAATAATTTTCCACCAAATGTATTTCTCTTTCTCCAAACTTTGGTTTCCGCCACTTGCCCACTCGAAAATATATGGTAAGTTGACTTATTTTATTCTTGATCTTCAATTTCTATTGAACTTTAGAAGAAAGTTTATTAAAATGAAATAGTGTTTATCCATTTTATTTGTTTTATTTCTTAAAGATTAAAAAAAATTATCTTAAAATTATATCGTTTTAATAAATTCTCATTAAAAAATATTAAAATACTTTATTTTTAAAACATAAATTAAAGTATTTTTTATAATATCTTTATAATATTTTATTAAAATTATATAATTTTGAAATAATTTTCCTCTTAATTTTTAAAAAATAAAGTAGATAAACACTAATTTTTTTATTAAAAACTCTTGAATGTTTCGATTGGTTAGAATCCAACAAGATTTTTTAGTTAAAGAAGAAAAAAAGAAAAAAAGAAGGGACTGAGAATTTGATGAAAGGTCATGGGATTAAAAATGGCAAAATTGCATTTTCCAGATGTTCACACCAGTATGGTGCCACCGTAGCAAGGACATAGCAAATTCTTTTTAAGGCCAAAAGGACAACAATACGTACTTTCACCATTTACCATAGCCTCTTCTTAAAGAATTGTAGAACAAAGACAATTACAAAGCACAAAGAGAAAATTTGGCAATTTTTTAAACTAGTAAAGAAAACACTACAACAAAGAGACAGAAGCCATTCAAAATAAAGACATTGTATCGAAAAGAGCAATTTTCATTTTTCAAGTAACTCGAATCTAGAAGGTCTAAAACATCAACTCTTCAACTGGTTTGTTCTTCGCAGCTTTCTTCATCTTAATTCCACTTTGATTTGGTTGTCCAATCCGAAAGATACCCCACCAATAGTCCAAATACCAACCCACAACCATAGCCTAACAAGACAAAAAAAAAAACCTATTTCAAGTACCATTACTCTCTCAATTTTCTCAAATTTTCTCAAGAATTGAGTAGGTGTTTAGGGGAAAAAATACGGAGAGAATGGAAACTTGGAATACCTACTTGGCTAAGTTAAATTATGCTGGGGAATTCAATAGTCATGGAGAATAGTCAAATTTTTGAAGACATAATAAGGCTGAGATAATAAGCATTCACTATAAAGGCGAATAAAAATCAATCAATGTATAGAATATAATATTTCTTTAAAGAAAAAGATGGAGTTTAAGAATTTCCTCTATCACGTTTATACAGCCTAGGCATATGGAACCAATCATACACAGCTTAATTATATAAAGAATCAAAATAATGCCCGCAAGCAAAATAAATCTTATTGGTATATGATCAAGATAAGTATCAAGATTTTTGTTGTAGAGTCCACCCATGCATTCTAAATACCCAATTAAGATGGTTAAGTTTATAATTATGCTAAAAATAATTATCCCACAAAGAAGAATGCTATATAAAAAATTCATTTATATAAAGGTAAACATTGGAACATGATGATATTTGACTTGTCATGAAGAGTACTAAGAGGTAAAATATAAAAATGATAGTCATCGGTGAGTATAAAAATGATGCTCATCAGTGAGCTAATACCTACACCAGGGATAACATTGCACTCGCATTAATTAATAATTCAATTGGTTGCTCAAGATTTAGTCTTATTAGCCTATACAGTTATCACAAGGATAATTTATTTTTCAGTAAAAATGTTTAAACTTGAATGTTACACAAGAACAGAGCATAAGAATTATTATTATCAGTTGCTAGGTTTCATTTAGCAAACTGAGCCACCAAATGAAGCATCTCATAGGATGAACAATATAAAAGCATATTCCTATGATATTTTTAACATCTGCAGATTATGAGAAGGAATTAATCAATCTACTTCCAGCAAGCAGCTATGAGAATTAAAGACAGATAGTACTGAGAATTTGGACTCATTCTGAGTACAGTGAGCATTTTTTGGCCTGAACTTTTTCCTACTCCTTGTTCATGCCTTTCACACTAAGATTAAGAAGTATAATAACAGTATTAAAATTTTCATGCTATCTTTTAGGATTCTGCCCTTGTTCTTTTCTCTTGTTTGTGAATTAGTGTTCTTTCCGTCGAAAAAGTTCATATATTAATTGAAGATTACAATGAAAGAGAAACTAAGTTAATGTTTATTAAGTTAATGTTTATTATTCTCTTCTTTCATCTCTTGAATTCAACTTAGATTAGTGAAGGTGTTCGGTGAAATTTAAAAAGTATTATTTTTCTCAAAAATTTAAAATTTTAGTAGAGAAAAATACTTAAAATTAACTATTTAAGTGTATTTTAGATAAATTTTTAAAAAATTATACATCTAAATTTTTTTCAAAACTTAATTAATATCACTTTAAAAACCAATTTTTAAATTTCTCTTACACAAAATTTCAAACTTATAAATAGTACTTTAAAACAAATGTTTTTTAACATTGGCTAAACATCTTTAGTATATTTGAGAAGAGCATTTAAAAAAAATTCAAATACTATCATTATTATTTTAATTTGAACCTAATTATGAGTCTATGAATAGGAAAGACTAGCTAGTTTTCTACCAAATTTATAATCAATTAAGTGAAAAAATATGTTCATTATCTTTAAAAGCCATAGTTTTACTTAGAGATAAAAGTTTATGACCATCTGAAAAAAAAAAAAAAAAAAAAAAAGACCAAGTCTTTGACTTTTTGCAAATGTAACTCATAAGAAAATAACCTTCAATTTTTTTTTCATACATTATTTTGATATGATATAATTGATAAGACAAATTTTCACACTAATAAAAGACTTGAATAAGTCTTGGTCATGGTATTATAATCCAAGTTTTCATTAACGCCTTTGTGTTCACACAAATGAAAGACTTGGATGAGTTTTGGTCATGATATTATGATCCAAGTCTTCGTCAATGCCCTTGTGTTCAAATTGTAAGACAGCTTACCTTCTTCCCTTTTGAGGTTTTAAGTAAAATTAATTACACCATGCTTGTGATGGATGATGCTTACATATGAACTGTTATTGTAATTAGGAAGTGATGTATGTATCAATGCTTTATATTACTTTTCAATTTCACTAGAACTTTGCAAGAAATGAATAGATGAGATTCATGGTATATTATCCAAGAAAAATTGATGTGCTAAAATTTACTAATAAGTGTAATAGTCACTTAAGTAATAAAATAATGAAGTAATAAGAAGAGTGTCAAATCTACAAGAATTATAATTAATTAATTACAAAAAATAACTTAATTAAGTACAAAAAAATAACTAATTTTAAACTTATTCAAACAAATAAAAAGAGAGCAAATTTTAATTAAAAATAATTAAAAAATAACAATTTAAAATAAAATTTACCAAGATATGATATGCTAAAACATCTTATTTCACCATAAGTAATCACTATAGATCTTAAATTATTATACTTTAAAGATATTTACTGTCCATGTAACAATAAAATTCACTATCCTTTTTAATATACTTTCTTTAGTGAAGGCTCATCAAGGATATATTAATAGTATAAAGACTACAATTTATTGATAATTTGCTATATAGGCATTACATAAAATCAATTTCTACTACCATCTCATTCATACACTACTATTTTATCCAAAAATTGGTTCCTATTTTAAAATTTCTTGGACTCATATTAAAGATTGGCACATGCATAATATTTATTGTAGGTCAATTTTCATATTTATTGTAGGTCAATTTTCATATTTATTGCTATGAGAATTAAAATAGTAACGGTAAAGAGAATAGACTAATAAAAAGTTTATGATCTATTCATCTATAATCTAAACAAGGAAGATTAAATAACAAAATTACACTTTGTAAGTTGACCCTTCAAGCGAATATGGTTTATTAATTTTATACCGTAACATGTAAAGCTAAAAGCAAAACTAATTTGCAAAGTATAAGTGAGGAAGAAATTGAATTGATTGTGTTGAGTTTACCATTCAATGCTAGACCTCAATTGTAAGGATTTTTCTTCATAAAAATGTATTTTCTTCTTAGAAATGTAATTGAAAAATCATAAGCAATTATAGAGAATTTAAGAAAGAGATTCCTATCCATCCATTAGACGTGGATCTTTCCATGCTACTTTTCAAATTTCTATAACTATCTATCTTATTCACGGACTTAAATTGTCTAAAAATTGGTTCATACTTTGAAATTCTTCCACTCTTATATTACATATTGGCATATACATGTATCATATTTATTGCTTGTCAATTTCCACATTTACTTGACAAATGTGGTCAAGCAAATATAAACGAGGAAACTTGGAAGCAATTGCAGGGAAGGGATGAACAGAGAAGAGTAAAGGACTCGAGTTATTTTAGCCTTCTTTATAAAGGGTCCAACATTAACGTTGCTACTTTTTGGAAGAAATAATTTTCCACCACATATAGTTCTCTTTCTCTAAGTTTTGGCTCCCACTTCTTGTCACTTTATGGTTCTTACTTTCTTTTTATTCTTCGGGATTCATTGCAGTATGAATTACATATTAAAAGTGAATTTCGTTTTATAAATTTATTAAAACATCTTTAATAAAATGATTTGTTATGTTATTTTATTATGAATATTTTAATAAATTTATAAGTCATACTACACATTTAATGTACAATTTACTTTATAAAACATTTTTTTGTGATTCTTTTACTATTTCTATTTTATTTTACCTAACAAAGTGGAATTAAAGAAGTTAAAAAAGAAAGAGTTTATCTTTACATAATTAAAAGATTAACACCACTTAAATCATTAAAAAATACCTAATTACTGGTGCTTTAAAGCCCAATAATTCTTTCATTTAAACCCAACCCTGTAGCTTACTCTAAAAAACCACTATTCTACCTATCTATCTATTTATCACCAATTCCCTTATTTCTTTCCAATAAAAGCCCATCTAACCAAGTAGCCTCAATTTCATTACATAATTAAAATCAACACACGTCAGGCAACGGCTCAAATCCCCTTCCACTTTTCTCCATTTTTGATTCCCTATTCTTCTTCCTTATCTACGAGTGATTGATGCCCCGCCATTGAATATTCAATTGAGTATCTAATTTTAAATATAAATAAAACGATTATACATATTTAATTTTTTGAAATAAATTTGTAAACTTAATTACTTTAAGGTAATGATGTAAAAACAACCATTTTATACCACTTTTTAATACTTCTATGCATCCTTAAATGAATATATACATTTAATATTATAAATTTTAAATAAATAAAAAATTAATTATTTAAATGATATATA